GTCCGCTTAATGCTCATTACAAATTGATGACCTCGTAATCAGCGGCAAATATTTTAAATAATTTTTTAATTTCAGCTTCCAGTTTTTCTTTCAGGTCTCAGAGCTTTTGATTTGTTTTGCATTTAATCATAAATAATTTATGTTTACACAATTCACAGGTTCTGTGCGTGTTTCTATTAATCTAATTGTATAATTTGGTAGAGTCGTTTTTCCCTTATCTCTAACATGCGGGTGACATTGGCCTAGGCAGCTGGAACGAACTGCAGTTCAAGAGACGTTTGATTGATTTGCTTGCCATCGAGGCATTCATCAACCCACATAGCTGGAAGCAGCTGCGGCAGATACTCTGGGATCACACTTGAGAAGGATTGCCAAGTGGTAAGTTTTATTGGGTTCGCCCTTCAGCTATTCAAGTACAGCATTTGACATACTTTTATGAATCTAGGTGGTTGCAATTTCATCAACTCATACGGGCTAGGCCTACTCGGAAGTCGACCATAAAAAAATATTAAGGCAACAAGGCGGCAACTCAAAAAGGAAGGCATCGTTATATTATTTAACGTTAATTAGAAAATATATAAATGAAAGCACACGTTGATAATAAATATAAGCTGTATAACTGTATAAATAATTTAATTTAATTTGTGAAACAACTTTCTGATTTCAAAATTTTGTTGATATAAATAACTACATAAATTAAAAAAAAAAAAATCTTACATTCTTTGTTTTAATAATTATTTATTTATTAAAATTAATAAATAAGAAAAATATTTTTAAAAAATACACTCCTAATAAGATTCATTTTCATACTTTAGTTTTACTACTTCGAGTTTTAATTCTTTATAAATAATAAATAAATAAATATTTAAGCAAATGTAAACATTATTTTTGTTATTTATGGTTGGTTTGCCTCATATTATTTAAAAAGTTCAAACTCTCAATTATAAAATTGCCTTCAAGAGACGATAAAAAGCCAACATTGTCCAAATCTATTATGAGATCAAAGATTTATATCGTCTTACCTTCTTTTCCATAGGGTGTTTAAGACAATTTCTTGTTACGCTGCTCCCAGCCGAACGGGGTGGGCAGGAAACGGACTGCAGGCAAATGCCTTTATAGAGATAACGTGCGGCCTACGCGACTGCAGCCAAGAGAAACGTGTTTAAGGCCAACTTTTAGCCAGGCATGCCTGAGAGAGACGGAGTTTTATGCGTTCGCAGGCCGAGTTGAAAGCCAAACAAGGCACAGAGATCGATTGAAACGAAAGTGTTGATAAGCTGAGACCAAGAGATAAAGTCAATCAATCAACGGAGACAGCGTCTTTTTAAATTGACTTAATTATCTAGACTAGAGAGACTTAAAATAGCTGATTTACATCGAAATTGGTAACTTAATATACCAATTGCCTGCGAACAAAGCAGACACTTGGTTTATGAACATATTTGGAGCGCTCGGACAAGACAGTGAATGGCTTTTATTAACGAATTATACAAAATATTTGGACAGCGAAAACAATTTGCTGTGAATGACAACAAAAGGAGCATATTGAATTTCAATGGGCATTCAAACGAAACTGGTTTATGGCCTAATCGCCGTTGATTTGCTGTGTCTTTTGTTGGTGTTGCTTTTATTTGTTAAGAGTTAAGAGCATTTGAGAATTTATTGTTAAATTAGCTAGAAAATTGTCTGATCAATTTTCTAAGCGAAAACTTCTTGGCAAATTCCAGAGACTGCAGAAATACACAAAAAACTTTCACGTTGCGTCCATTCGCCATGCGCCATGCACCATGCACCATGCCCCATGCGCCATTCGCCACTCTCAAAACTTGCCACACACAAAACTTGCACCCAAACAAATAGCTGGCCATAAGAAGTTGTTCAAATATTTATTTACTTTTTCAAGTTGTTGTTCCTTTCTGTATTTTACTTATTCTATATATATATACATTTTTTTTTGGCCGTGTTTTAGTCCTTGGGCAAAAAGTTGGGCCGCTACTTTTTGCACCTGCTTTAAGTTGCGCTGCTGCAAAACTAATAACAAATCTTTTCATTAGTTGCGTTAGACAAGTTAGTTAAAAAAGTGCACTTTGCTCAAACAGATGAGAGCCAATATATGGGCTAAACAATAGAGCAGAGCAAAACAGGAGAGATAGAGAATAGTGAAGCTGGAGATACCCTGCACAGCAGGGAGTTCTAGACACCCAAAGAGAAAGCATAAAGAATAAAATTGTCAACGAAGCTATGAAAACAAAAATTCTTGGCTAAGTAAATATAGCGTTGGTGTAGAATATAAAGTAAGTATATTGAAATTCTTTAACTTTGAACTCAAGTTAGATTTATTATACAGATAGATGGCTTCTTATTGAAATACCTTTTTTTTTTTAACAATTTGCCATGGCCTTAAGGCTAAGACGAGAAAAAGATTGTCAAAGCCAATAAACAGCTGGCAGCATAAAGAAGACGAAAGCCACAGCTGGAGTTGGAAACTGACTGAAAGTTGTCTAAAAGTTATTGTTGCTGCTGCCGCTCCTGCCTGCCCCGGCCATGCATAATGAAAACATAACATTTAGTTAGCACTTGTATTTATCTAAGCCAGACACAGAGCAAGTGAGCGAAATGGCCAAGAGTTTTCCATTAATAACTCGAAAATGTGTTCGCTTATATAAGCTGGGCTGGGCGCACACCTTTTAGCACAGGAAGAGGCCCAGACACAGAGACACTGAGAAACAGGCTCTGGCTCTGGGGATGCCTGCCCCCTCAGTGTCCTTTAAAAGTTTTGTGTTTTTCTATTTTCTTTCCGTTTGCTTGCGTTTGTTGGCAAAAACAAATCAAAGGAGCTGGCAACTTGCTTTGCCATTCTATTGAGGGCTGGGGCATAGTACATTGACTCTAACAACAGGGACAAGTCATGACAATGGCAATTAAAGCAACAACGTTGCCAACAGACAAACTTTTTCCCATAAAGAAACATGAAAAGCAAAAGCAAACGCAACAACTATGGCCAAATGGGTAAAAACTCTCGTAATAAACGAAAATTATGATGATTTTCTATTTGGCATCGCGTTTTACAAAATCATTTTCAAAGCCCAAGCGCGAAGAACAAAGCACCATTAAAGCAATACGACAATGCAATCCAAAAGGCAAACCCGAAGCACTGAACGGAATGGGAATGAAGATTAAGACGGAAAAACCGAAGAAAAAGAAATTAAATGACAGGAAAATATATATTAAATGATAACAGCTATGTTTACTGTCTGTGCCAAGAGTGCGTTAAGTGAAATCATTTTCAGCTCAATGTGCTTGCTTATGAGTAAATGGCATTAGTGCTGCCAGAGCAAGTTGAAGCTGTAAACAATAATAATAAATATGTAATTCTTGAGAAGATTTTTGGCTGCGAGTTTTCGGATCCTTGAAACATTTTATAAAGAAAATATATAAAGCACCATAGTATAGTTTACAAATATACAAATGTAATTTGCACTAAAAACTAAATTAGAATCACGTGGGAGATCTACCAAAAGTAAATTTCTGATTGTTCATTTTGATTCTCATTCTTTACATCAGTTCATTATATTCAGTTATCGGTAGATTATTTCAACTTTATGTAACATTCTTATGAGTATAACATATCAAATGGAATATATTCGACATAACTTAAAGTTACATTTGAAAATCATAGACAAAATTAGTGAACTAATTTCGAATTGTGTAGCTGAAATAATGTGGAAAATAGCAAGCATTGAATTCAATTTGAAAATTATATACATACAAGTCAGTAGAAATATCTAGATCCCGATAGAATTAACAATTTGAAAATATGTCGGATCTTCAAGCTCTACGCCTTTCTGTAAAGGATCGCATTTACCTTTGGTTTCACCGCTCAAAGGAAATTAATTATTACACCGTTAGGGGAGCTCGCCGTGCTGTTGTAGATTTTGTTGTCTACATCATATTTGTTTCACTGGCCTCTGTTGGTAAGCGATGAGATCGACTTCATATCGTCAGTCGATTCATTAAACGCAACTCTGATCATTCCCGCAGTAACAAAGATGAACAACACTACGCATATGTACTACTATAACGATGCTCTGCAGTGCCTATTGGTAAAGCGTGCTATGACCTTCGACCGCGATCCGAATATAAAATTTGGAAGTATTCGCAATGTCGATAGGTTTTGGGTCTACACCTTGGATGTATTCTTAAAATTTCTCGAAAAAGGTGACTTTCGACCGAATGATCCGGGCGCCATCTATACATATCCCAACGAGACGACTTTTTACAATAAGATCTATGGCAATATGGTCGAGCGAAACATATACCATGGCAATGTGCTACTCGGACCACCGCGTCTCAGACAGATTCGCGTGAAAGATGGTCTGTGCATCAGGAATCCCGTATTCACCAAGAATGCGCCCACTTGCTATGCACCCTACTCGTGGTCCGGTGAGAGCCATGCAAGCCATCGCGGATATCGGTGGGTCAGCATGGCAGAGGATGGTGTAACGCCAATCAATGGCATTTTAGATTGGTATTTCGGAGCCGGCTTTATACAGGATCTCACATACAACTATACGAAGAACGTGGAAATAATTACCAACTTACGCGATAGCGAGTGGATAAGCCGTAATACTCGAATTGTTATTATTGAGTTCAATTTATATCATATCATGACAGATTTATTGGAGATCGTGAAGTAAGTAACTTAAGGTAGTGAGAGATAGATATGTATGTATGCCAAGGGTTATTGCCGGTTTTATATGTTACTAAAGACATTTGTTTTCTATTGTTATGATTAGACCTTCCTCTGCATAGATAACATGGAAAAGTTATCATCATACTTTACATTAACATAACATTATATTTTGGCTTACAGACTGCGATTTGAGCAGCCTTCGTTTGGTGGACTTTTTCCCAGTGCCACATTCACTGCACTACGGAGGCATTCGATTTTCGCCACGTCCGATTGGGTCTTACAAGCTGTGGGCTATTGCTACTATCTGATGGTCACACTGTTTACAGTTAGAGAAATCGCCATTATATTTCGAATAGGTTTTAAGAAATACATACGCAGCTATTTCAATTTCACGGATTTCACCTGCTACTTGGTGAGTAAACTAGCTAAGTTAACTAACTTCGTTTGATTGTAATTCTTACTCGTTTAATCATGATTTTGACTCCCCTTAGCTATCAAGCTTAGCACTGGCGATGCAAATTTTCCAATACTTCTATGTTGAGCGCTTATTGCAGAGGAAGAAGCAAACTGATCAATATATTTCTCTAGACTGGGCTTGCTTCATGAGAGCCGTTATTACTTATATTAACGGAATTTTCATTTTTATGATTTGGATACGCCTGCTTACCTTTTTGACCATTAATCGTACCTTAACGGTATTTAATAAGGTGCTGCTAAGAGTACGTGAGTCTGATAAGAAAGCAAAATCCTTAAGTTTCTAATATTGCACTAAAACAAAAACAAAAATTTTGAATTTTATGCATTTAGTATGCATATTATTTTGTACATCTCTTAAAATATGGTATAATAATCTTATATTGATTCTTTTGTAATGAACAAAAATATTCCATAGATTTCACATTCCATATACTTGCCAAAATCTGTTTATACAGTTCCGGGTATTTCTTAGTCACACACTTATTAGAAATTGGCTTTACTTTTGTTATTTACAGTCTCTTAATTCAAACATAAATTCACTTTCTTAGAGCGCCAACGAACTGATTGGATTCACCGTCGTCTTGCTTATCTTCCTAATGGCGTATGCAGAGTGCGGCTTGGCATTATTTGGTGTCAACGATGTGAAATTTTGCAGTCTAAGTAATGCATTGATATCCATAATGAGCTTGGCTGGGCGTAAATTTGCATACCAAGAAATTACGGACAAAAATAAGGTGAAAACAGGTATCTACTACATTTCCTTTGTGTTGATTGTCTATGTGCTGCTGGTGTTGCACGTCTGCCTGGGCATCCTCGTTGCCGCCTACGACGAGGTCAGCGCCACACTGCAGACCAAAAAAACCAAAGTGACTACCGTCATTCGTATGTTTTTCATAAGCTTGTACGATCTGCTTTATTGGCTCATTTTTCGCAAGCGAAGAGTCCGCAAAAAAGTTGATATAGATGCAGAGGGCGAATGGGAAGTGGATCACCACTTAATTCCTCAAATGGTGTCCAGCTTGACTGCCAAACGCACGCATTCGATCAGGTAAGTTGACCTGATCTCAAGTGTCTCCAAAGACCTGGAATTCAATTAGTTCTTATCGCAGCGATCCGGCCTTCCTAACACAGGATATGTACCTGCCTTTGCGCATGAAACGGTGAGTGGATTAAGTTTGATCTATACTCTATATAGCTACATAATATGCTCCATAGAGTTTCCACACGTCTTCATGTTTTGGAAGAGGTACTGATCCCAGTCCTGAAGCGTTTTCTCAGGTATTACAATCACTTGCGCAAAGCACAAGGGCTCAACGTGATATTATTTGAGCAATTAGACGTGGATATTTAGCGACTTCTCCAGATCATTGAAAAACTTGGAGAAAAGAGAAAAAATGTATGAATTAATATATTATTGTTTTATAAAATCCTGGCGACATTAAATTAAATTTAAATAAACAATCAAGACCTGAACTTAGGCATAGAACTAAAATATGAACAGAAAATATAAATGAATTTTCTGATTATAAAAAGTCTCTAGATTACTCATCTATATAAGTTACATATGTAGGTGTTCAAGCTTGGGTTCTTTCTGAATTGTTTACCTGCACAGTTAGCAATTCTTTATTTGTCTGTGAAGTTTTTAATCAACAATAGTAAAGTAGAGTAGACTCATCAAGCTGAAGTTTTCTTAATCTCAGTTCGGTAGCCTCCATAAGGCCCCCCTCTCATCCTCCCTTCCATTGGTTTCTGCACTACAGAGCTCATTATGCGCATTGTTATCTCTGTGTATGTGCAATAATGCTTATAAATAACAAGTAAAAGAGAGTCAAATTTGAATGTGAACGACCAAGAGATGCCCTGTATGTTTTAGATAACTTCAACTATCAACTTTATATCATAGTACATGGGTTCAACATTTCAAGTATGCTCTCTCTCAGCAGCAGACACATTCTTTTCACCTCGACTGTAACGGCTAAACGAAATCCTTTCCACTTGAGGGAGAGTCAGTGATGTATGCCTACATTTACACACAGTCATTATACCCTAGATTAGCACACTTTCCGTGCTGACTAAAATAAAAAAAAATTAAGAGAAAGAGGAAAAAGGGCAAAACGGGAAAAGGAAATGCCGCACAAACTGAAATATGAAAGCGCAAATAATGTTTAAACAATTTGTTGTCGTTTCGTCTCATTAAGTGACCAGCCTTCAAGTGGATGCTCGACCCACGAGCGGCGCCCCCTTCCTGGACGCGTCAGACTCTTGCTTGTCGTTATAATTTGCAAAAACTCTGCACAAAGAAGAACAAACCCTGGGAATAGGAGGTGGGTGGATATGAATACAACAACAGCAACAACAACAACTGGAGGAGATGTAAAAAAAACGAAAGAAATTAGTAATAACAAGAAAGAAAGCTCTAGTCGAGACTGCTCGACTACGAGATCCCCTG